CAAATTAACTACCACATACAACCAAAACTTCTTCATAACAAATTCCTACTTCATTAAAACCATATAATCAGTACAAACCATTTAACCAGTACTAGAAGCAGTAATAGAAACAACATTAGTTTAGGTTTTAAGACAAAATGAAATGAAATCAAGTAGTCCTAATCCAATCCACAAAAAAAAAACAAAATAGACCTAAATATGTCAAGAATGAGAAGGCCTTCTAATGATCAAAAGGAGACAGTTGAAAACGAGAAGGCCTTCTAATGATCAAATTAGACAGTTGGAAACGAGAAGGTCTTCTAATCCTCTTCTTCTGAGATGATAAAATTTTTAGTTTCTGATTTCCTCTCTTTACCACTACACTAGGAGTACACACAATTTCTTCATAACCAACCTTATCAGTCTCACCCTCTGATTCAATGTGACTTTCTGCAGCGATCACACTCTCAGATTCTTCCATGACATCACCCTCTGGTTCAGTCACACCTACTTTCCCCTCCATGACAACATCTCTATTACTTGCTTCTTCCATTAAAACATCTTCCGTTTGCTGTGCTTCTTTGTTACTTGCTTCTGCTCTTTTGCTTGCTTCAGCTTCTTTACCAACACTCCCTGCTTCTTCTTCTGCGTCTTTACCAACACTCCTCGCTCCTTTGCCAGCAGTGTATGCTCCTTCTTGATCTTTTCCAGCCCTATCAAAACTGAAATCATAACCAACATCATTACATCTCCACTCATCATCCATATCAGGTACACTATTTTGTGCATTCTTCACAAATGATTCAACAGCCATGATTCTTTTATCTTGAGCATTGAGCTTCTCGTGTATGTCCTTTAATCCATCACTAAGCTCTTTTCTCAACAACTACACACTCTCTATAACCTCTGCCACTCCAGGATAAGATGCAGGGGAAGCTTGTCTTGGTGAATCTGCGTTTTCCTGAGCCGTAGAAGCTTATCTTGGCGAAGGATCTTCCTCAGGTATATCTTCTACTTGTCGAGCGTGG